AAGTCCATTGGGTTTTTTTAGACTTTTCCCTATTAAAATATTATTCTAATCTTGAATATGTTATTTCTCTACACATAATTTCTTTTTCATCATCAACCATTTAATACAASTTATTCATATTTCTTACGTATATCACATTCAATTAATTTTCTCAATTCACATATATATGTTCATACCGAATGAGTTATATAGAGATATKAATAGATTGAAAATATGTGTATATGAAAAATATACATGATAGTGTAATTGTCTAATGTATATATCAATAGAAATTCAACAATCATATTAAATCCAAGAAATAAAAGGAAATTAGATTCATCGGGTTGGGTTGGGTTCAAATAATAGTAACCTAATATCAACTCAATACTTACGGTTTGACAATTTTACAACTCGATTAGACATCGAGTTGGGTTATTTCATGTTGGGTTGGGTTGAGTTGATCGGGTTGGYGAGCACCCCTACTTGTTTTTAGAGATCCTATAATGTTTGTAAAATTAATTTAGGGACTCTAATAATTGCTGAATGATTTGATCTAAAATGATTAAAAGGTTCTCACTATATAGTGAAAAATGAAATCTAATTGTTTGATAAATTGCTTACAATGAAGTTAGGACACTGAATGGTTAAAGAAAACTCATGATACAAAATCATTCAAAGAGTTTTAGAACTATTAAGAAACAGACTTTTTTTTACCAAACAAGATTCATCTCTTAACGATTCAGAKGTTGCGTCTTAATAAAACTATTAAGAGATAAACAAACAACCTTTGGTAGGAACGTTTCAAAGGATGGCATAATACCCTTTTTTGCAAAAATAAGATGATATAAAATAATAAAATAAATTATAATAAATACGATTTAATTAAATACAATTGTACATTGTTCAAGTGGTWTTTTTCTTTTCTTATCAAAAGAATCGAAAGAATTTAAACATTAAAATTATTAAGACGAGATAAAAAAAATTAAAAAATTAATTATAAAAATACGATTTGATTAAATATAACATACAAGTGGTATCGTAGYCTTTGGCCTCTTAAGAGGTCAGAGGTTCAACCTTCACCAAAGATGATGTCATATATAATGAAACTATGAATAGGTTGCAATAACATTTTGTTAACTTAGAGAAGCGTAAGTCGATCACCTTTTAAGATCCCTATTTTTTCGATTTAGGGCATGGGCACCCCCTATGCTATTACAGGATCAGCCTCAGTCAAAGGCGGGGTCTAGGATTGAGATGTACGCAGATCTGACCTCCTCCAAAACAGTTGTTTCTGTAATCTAGCTAGAAAGTGTGTTACATTGATAAAATATGAGCTAAAAAGACGATAGAAAACGCGGTATTAAAGAAGTTCCTAAGCCCGTTCTAATCAAGCAAATCGATTGACGGATTACTAGATTTCCTCGAGTTTTGTATAGAACGTGTTGACGCGGGATCGGTCAAAAGATCTGCATAAGAAAATGAACGATAAAAAGATGTAGAAAGTAAATATTTGAATGGATTCAGTTCCGCTAAAAACGACCCTTTTCCGTGAGAAAACGTGAAGGTATTGTTATATTATGTGAAGGTTTGTCATGAGAATTGTGAAGACGCTTTTACATTATATGAACGATCCAACATTACACAATCTAAAGGTATCTCATTATCTTCACTTGTTCTCGTCTTCTCACGAGAGTGAAAATTTCTCAAGTAATCCCGACTAAGGAGCTGATTGGTTGGTTTTTCATTAAGTCTCGTATGGATAAAACTGTCTGTGTGAATTAGTTTGTCCGTATAGATTGAGAATTTTTTTTTGTTTACGAGGGTTTTCTACAGATGAAAAGAGCGTGTTTTTTAATTGGAAGGGACAAATTTAAAAAAAAGCTTGGCTTTCTGCATAAAATCCCTTGAAAACTTACTGAAATAAGTCGATTTCTATATCATTAAGTCACTACCAAACAATCATGTTCAACTTACCGAATAAGCTAGTCTAATTAAGCAGCTAACAGACATGCCCTAAAATGTGTATAATAGACAACGAATGGATAAATGTAGATCGGTTTAGGCAACTATTCCACAATTTGTAACGGGAAAAAGATTCGTACCCGGATGATAAAATCAGCAAAGAAGTCGTCTCGAGATCACTTATCTTCGTCCTCGGAATCAGACTTTGCAAAAAGAGTTTTGGGTTGAGTCTCGGCGTAAGCTGGAGCGATGAATTTTGGATCTTTTTTGGCCACATCGGCATACTTCAAAATAGCTTCTCTTGGATCTTCATCCATCCACGTTTCTTTAATCATGCCACCTTGCTGCAATACCACCCAAGATGTTAGCTTCTTCAGTATTCGCTAGAACCTACTTAAAGATGCACAGAAAGCCGTTTTTTCTTACTAAAACGGGCTTGAAAAGCCCGATCCCATGCCTGAAAAGGCCAGGGTGGGCTTTTTTCTTACTAAAAACGGGCTTGGAAGGCCTGGGCCCATGCCTGAAAAGGCCAGGGTGGGTTTTTTTCTTACTAAAAACGGGCTTGGAAGGCCCGGGCCTTGTGCAACTCTAGCATAGATGCACAAAAAGCCCGGACTTTTCTGCTTTCCTAAAAAGGGGCTTGGAAGGTCCAGACCCGAAAAAGCCCGGGCCTTTTGCATCTCTGGACTAGAGATGCACAAAAAATCAAGGGTTTTTTTCTTACTAAAAAGGGGCTTGGAAGGCCCGAGCCTTGTGCATCTCGACTCCCTGACTATTTTTGCTTACTAAAAATGGGCTTGGAAGACCTAGGCTCTAAAAGGCCTGGGACTTCAAGCCCGAGCCTTTTTTACTAAAAACGGGCTTGGAAGGCCCGAGCCTTATGCAAATCTAGCATAGATGGACAAAAAGCCCATACCTTCTTTTTGCTTACTAAAAATGAGCTCGGAAGGCCCAGACCCAAAAAAAATCCGGACCTTTGTATATCTCTAGACTAGAGATGGACATAAAGCGCTCGCTCTTTCTTTATGGGGCCCACCCAATTTTTGTTGCGAAAGCTCACCTCCAGGCTTTTTTTCTTACTAAGAACGGGATTGGAAGGCCCAGGCCTTGTGATGTACAGAAAGCCCCCAAATGGAAGTAAATCCATTCTTTACATTTTGTCTCTGTGGACCGGAACTTTTTTTCCTTACTAAAAACGGGCTCAGAAGACCTAGTCCCTGAAAAAGCCCGGGCCTGTGCATCTTTAGGAACTAGACTAAAAAGATGGGTAAAGACGAAAAGATAGTACCTTGAGAAGGTACTGAGTCAATAAGCTTCCCTTGGTTACACCTACTCGTCCACCAAAGCCAGGCCCGTTCATTGGGGCTTCGGGCTTATGAGACTTGAGTGGGTCTTTCAACATTTTCTCACGCTGGCGCTTGCGGCTCGGTTGATCTCTAAATAACGGAAGTGCGTGAGGGTTGTGAATCACAGGTTCGGCCTGGAAATCATCGATAGACTTTTTCCGAGGTGCACGAGCAACACAAACAAGAGCGCCTCTAGTACTGAGCGTAGGATCGTATAATACGTGCGTTCCTCCTTGGTGTTTATCCCCTGCGGTCGCCAAAATCTAAAAAGGGAAGTGTTTTAGTAGGATACTTTAAGGCATCTCATGTTTCAGAAATACATGGAAACCAAGACGGTTTAGCAGCGTTGCCATAATGAAATCAACCAGAAAAAGCAGCACAAGGGAAAACAGCCGCAACAGCCGCTGTGGCGCGCCGCGGCTTAAGGCTTATCTCACACCACGTTAAGCCAGTGACACGCCATGGCCTAATACGCGGTTTTTGTAACGCAATATTTGATTTTTCTTACTTTTTTTAATATCTTATTTGTTAGTTTCTAATGTATAACATAATTTGAATTATTTAATATTATTAACTCGTCGAGTAATAGTAGAAAATATATGTTTATATGTATAATATTATTAATGATATAAAGATTTGAGGCCTTAAGTCATGCCTTGAAAAACGTCACGGCCACGCCGTCATCCCGTGCATCACGCTATTTAGAACATTGGTATACATTCATCCAAAATAAAGTTCTGTTCTTGGCACCGGACATATATTAAGTGTAGGATATGTGGAACCCCCCAAATACTCTCTAAAAGATCCCGTATACATATATAGAAGTTTGATTGTTCGTGTATAGCTGTTGTAAGACTCCAAAACTCCCCTGAAATGGACCTTAGAACGTAGGCGAAAGAGCGTGGAGTCCCTAATTGTGGTTGACCTCGTCTTTGATATCATATTAGGGTACTTGGAACCTTAGGATATTGTCTAAAAGAGTCCTTATAGAGAGAGGGAGGTTACTATATATTAATATATATAGGGTCAAATTCAAGAAAAAACTGCAAAAAAAATGAAAAACTGAAGAACACCCTGGCAACTGTTCATCTGGACGGCATGCACATGTGTGCACACAAGTAATTTATAAGCAATTTGTCAGGTATACACATGTGAATAACATGCATAAAAACCAAGAAACAACTTCAATTACGTGTATGCACATGTCTATATTGTCCAGATGAATGGGGTCTTCCTCAGTTTTTCATTTTTTGGGGGTTTTCCCCTAAACTCTCTCTCTCTCTCTCTCTCTCTATATATATATATATATATATATATAGAGAGAGAGAGAGAGAAACACGAAAAATTTTAGAACCAGATAACCTGTAGATTCATTGATGCATATACACTATCAAAATATGCATTTCAATGCATATCTACTATGCATGCAAGTATATGCATCAATGAATATACAGGTTTTTAGTTCTCAAATTTTTTGTGGTTCTCAAATGAACCCCTATATACATACATACAGATACATACATATATATGCATATACATATATATATATAGGTTTGACTTATATAGGACTCAAGTTTGATGGTTCACATATAGCCAATGTGGGACCCCAGCAACCCCCCCCCCCAAAACGGTATATATATATATACATACATGTATATATAGGTTTGATGGTTTATGCATAGTTGATATGGGACTCAAGTTTGATGGTTTATGTATGGCCAATGTGGGACTCCAACCCACCCTCCCCACCAAAAAGAACGGAGGCTAGATGGTAACCCCTAGAACGTAGGCAAAAGAGTGTATCCTCTGTGGTAGACCCCGGCTCTGATACCATGTTAGGATATGTGGAACCCTAGGATACCCTCTAAAAGATCCCTTATAGAGAGGGAAGGTTCCTAGATATATATAGGTTTGATGGTCCTTATCTAGCGATGTGGGACTCCTACATTAATAAATAAACAAATAGTAACGTATAAGAAACAAGTAAGATTCTACACAAACCTGATTAAGCTTCGGGTGCCAAGCACATTGCACCACACTACATGTGGGCGATATCCCGACTTTTGATACAAGCTCGAGTTTCACTCTATCGAACAAACATAGCAACCCGCCCGTTGTGCTATCCCTTTCCACAGATGTACCCGTCAATAGAAGCTGCTCATCAGAACTAAATGCCACATTCGTTTGTGCATAGTGATTTGGAAGGTCCTCAAATGACTTCAATGCCGTTTTCATTTGACGCAAATCCCAGACCTGGTGCACATAACAAATTATCATCAGCAAGAATAGTAACAAAATAGGATATATAAATATATATATATATATTGGGAGGTCCAAATAGGAAGGCTAAATATCGTGAAAAGTAAGAAAGGAAGATTCATATGTGAATCATTGAAAAAAGCCATTTGACGATGCATATGTGAACCCATATGAATAATCAGTAAAGTTGGTTCACATGTGCATCTTCAAGTAAATTTTTTCCGGATTTTTCCAATGATTCACATTTGAACCTTCTCTTAACTTTTAGCCTTCTTTATATATATATATATATATGCACTTTACCTTTAAGGAACCATCGAAACTTCTGGAGAGTAATATCCGTCCATCGCTAGAAAATTTAAGACCTGTGATTTCATCCGAGTGACCATTGGCAACATAAATGTCTGGCCGACTTCCCCATCCAGGCTTAAGACTCCATATCTGAATATGAACAAAGTTAACGAATATACCTTAAGACTCCATATCTATATGTGAATAAAGTTAATAAATATACTTATCTATATGTGAATAAAGTTAATAAATATAACCTTAGGAGTAGGTTCATTTGAGAATAGTAAATATTTTGAGAACCATGAGAACCAACTATTCATGATGAATATCATGAATGAATATTTGTGAATGGAAATGCGTGGTATTCATGATGAATATATTCATGTATAATTATATATTCATCATGAATAGTTTGGTTTTCATGGTTCTCAAGATATTTACGGTTCCTAAATGGACTTTCCCAACTTATTTAATATGTAAATACATTAAGAAGACTACCGAATAAAATATCTTTTAGATGAAATTGTAAATAGATAGTAATAACTGAGGCATCACAAACCATACCTGTATAGACCCATCACCGATACCTCCTGCAATGGACTTCCCTTCACGATCCCAAGCACAAGTGGTAACAGGAACCCTTCCGGGCCTTGCAAGTTTGGGTTTTATAACCTATAGACAGAATTATCGTCACACTCGGCTTCGGCTCAATACTTTTCTTTCCCTACGTCTGTCATCTTCCAGTTCAATTACAAATATAGAAATAACTAAGTGTCAAATAGACTGCTTTATAGGACAAAAAATAAAGTGTCGTGTCTAAAAGTGCTACAATAAGTTTATAGGAAGCTTTTGAACGTCTTAACAAGTTATTAAGGACATTTATAAATAAAATGTCATATAAGCTATTTTATGCGGCACTTTTGAGAAGCGTCCTATAAACACATCTTTCTATAACACACTTGTTTAATTGTTTTTATAAGACTCTTTTTCAAAAGGGTCATGTAAAATTGCTAATAAGACACATGTTTAAATGTCCTATAAACTTGCAAAAACGTCGTAAAGCGTCCATAAACTTGCTAAAACGTCCAATAGCGTCCTATAAACTTATTGTAACACTTTTAAACAGTATGTTTTATTGTTTGGTCCTATATACTTAAGTCCTATAAGCAATCTATAAGAGCACTTAGTCATTTTTAGCGTCCTATAAAACCGATTTTCTAGTAGAGTATCCTCTGAAAATTGTAAGATATAATGCCGAAAATACTTGAATAAAGCATGAATCCTATTATTAGTTTGTTAATTTGCACTCGGTATGATGTTTGAGGAACCAAATAAGCATAGTTTCTATTTCTATATGTAGCAAATTTCATGAAAATGCAACGTACTTCCAAAACCTTCAATTTGGTACCTTAGATGTGATATCTCAAACATTCTAAATAGAATGCAAGCATCATGTACTACTACCAATATTAAAATACGCACCTGCTTTTGGGATTTAAAGTCATTGACATCCCATATACGCAATGAACCATCCTCAGATGAAGTTAAAATCGTCTCTTTCGTCTTTGGATGCCATTCTCCACACGTCAATCCAGTTATATGGCCTTTTGTATTCTTCAGGTCACGGATATACATATCACCTTTCACAAACTCGCCAAGTGTCAATCCATCACGATCATATATCTGGAATCCCCAACAAACAAGGAAAGGTTAAACGAGCCTAATATATCTCACCACGAGGTGCGATCTGGGGGTGGGATGTATGCAAATCTAGCATTTATCCAAAAGAGTAGAGCAGTTGTTTTTGTAAAAACATTCAGATGAATCATAATGAATGAGTAGGAAATGTTAGTAATATAGTTTAAGGCATACCTTAGCTTGCGCAGATCCAGTAACACATAAGAAACGGTCAGAGCTAGGACTCCAACTTAAACTACGAACTTGGTGTCCTTCAGAAGGTTCAAGTTGTCGAAATGATTCCAAACGAGCATTCATCCCTTGGAAGTCGTACATACGAATTGAGTAGTCATAGCTTCCGGAAAGTACTCGAGATCCGGAATGGTCAATAGCAAGAGCGGAAACAACCTGCAACACCAAGTAGGTTCAACCAAAGAACCATAGAGATATGATAATTCTTTCATATGTACATATCTACACCACAATATTCACAAAGTAATCTTGGAGCAGGTTCATTTAGAAACCTTAAATATTTTAGGAACCCAAGAACCACCTATTTTGTGAGTATTCAAGACGAATATTACTATCATGAATATTTGTCACAACATTTACAATGAATATTTTATCACGTTATTCATCATGAATACTCACAAAAAGGGTGGTTCCTGGGTTCCTAAAATATTTAAGGTTCCTAAATGAACCTCCCTTAAGTAATCTTATTTCGTCTATATGTCTCCATGTGTAATTGTGCGTAAACAAAGGAAAGGGGTAGGAACAAAATGCTACTCCTCCCAAAAGAAGCTTCTAGATTTCTAGCCCATGTTCCATTATTGTTCAAACATATATATTGGTAAAAAGAACCATTTTGTCAACGTCTTCTTAATGTGGGGTAAATTTGTTCGAAGGAGTTCCTCCAATTCCTTCTAGAATGTTACGTATGCTCTTTGGTATCAAGGGAGCCTATACAACATACAATTCTCTGGTTCATCTACCTTTGCACGGATTACATTTGTTTTACACTCAAATTTTCTTAGGTTGTGTTTGAAACATGGATAAGACTCGACGGAACTGGTGAGAATGAGGTAGGCAGGTGAAAAAATTGTGTAAGGTTTTAATTTGACATGAGTAGTTTAGTAAATATAGTCTTGTCTCATCTCCAAGATTTTTCTTCAAACGATTTTGGTCTTTGACAAAAAAACTGCATTTTTCAGTCTTGTTGTATCCGGGTCTAATTGTCAAGCCAAACATGAGACGACAAGATTTTGTTCTCCCAACATACCAAACGCACCATTAGAGTTTTACATAGTACAACATAATTTACATAAGCAAAGGCTCTACGTTTTTTAAAATAGAACTTCAATTTGCATTAGCATTGTCATTTCCTTCTTAAGCCTAATCCGCTTTTGCCCAAAACATATATACACAAATATAAATATAAATATAAATATATATATAGATATATAGATGATGGATCATGCAAGTATAGGAGTTAAGATAAAAAGTATAAGAAGGGATTTGGACCTTGGTAACGTTTAATCCCAAAACAACCCATGAATTGCACTTTGGAAGGGAATTGATATAGTGTATCTCATTAGTGTTGATCTAGTGGTTCTCTTCAATTAGGATTGATCCAGGGTGAAGATCCTTTCTTACCCTTCTCACCATAATTTTTATTTTCACAGGAAACCAACCCTATATATAGGGGGGCCTTCTTTGAGAACTCGTGAAATTGTGATAACATTGAGAACTAGTGCATTATGTGCTATTTCATATGACTTTTTTCATATAATACTAGGATTTAGAATATCGATTAATATATATCTGTTTCACGTGTACTCAGTTCACAATGTGAACCTCTTTGGCGTGTTCGTAAAACAAAAAAAGTACACGTAAAAAAGTTTCGCATTGTGAACCAAATACATATGAAACAAACACATTGTGAAAAAGGTACATGTTAATCAAAATATTAAATACTATACCTAGATGGAAAAATATCATGTTAAACAAAGCCTTAACGCAGAAATTCCCACGGGTGTCACGAATTTTGGAGTTCTCAAATAATTAAACCCATGTATATATGTATAGGTTCAAAAGAGAACATCTTCATTTTGCAAGTACACAAGTACACCTATCGCATGTGATTATAGTGGTGTGTGGGCAACTTGGTCCTACATAGACTACAATATCACCTATGATTGACTATAGTAAAAGGGTGTTCTCCCATTCTCCTAGAATGAATTCTAATTGTCATGAACAATTCCAATCATGTTACATAAATTGTAAACAACTGAAAACATGAAATTGCAGAAGCTTCAAACTTCAGTATCCAAAATCAGAAAGAATACCTTGGTGTGGCCCTTCAAAACAATCTCGTTGCTAAGAGGTATACGGTGTTGATTTTCTTCCTCATCTTCCGACAATTCATTGTCGCTATCCGAACCCACCGGCGGCCGTGGTGGCCCGATAATTGGCTCCTCATCCTCCTCTTCATCATCGTCATCATCAGCTGGCATGGGCCTAGGAGGCCCAACCATCACATCATCTTCTCCATCAACAGAATCAGAAGACGGTGGAGGTCGAGGCGGGCCAATTGCCACATCATCATCGCTCACAGTACTGAGTTTTTTAGGGGGTTTTTGGAGGGAATTTAACCATGACTTGGAGGAGGTGGATAGTGAAGGGAAAACGGTGTCGTTGTTCTTGTTGTCAGTGGGAAGGGAACTAGATGACGGTGAGTCATCGACGACGGTGGTTGTGGATGGGCGGCGAGTGGCGTTGTGAATTGATTCAGTAGAGATTTGGGATTTGGTTTTTTTGCCGAAAGAAAGGGGAAAGTGAGCCCTAATTCCATCGAAGCTCTCTGGGTCATCCTCCATTGATGTCGTGCGTGAGGAAGGGGGTGTGTGTGTATTTTTTCGTTTTTCTTTATGAAAGAAATCTTGATGTAAATCCGACCGGACCGGGTTTGGTGATGCACAACCGGTCCCTGTTCTGGTCTTTCAAATGCCGGTTAAGAGTTAAATCTCTTTTAGCAACAAAAAAAAAAATTTGTCTTTTAATGGTTTTAAAATGCTTTTGTATCATGAACTTTCCTTAATTATTCAGCGTCTTAATTTCATTGTAAACAATTACATCATGAGAGTTTTTTAATTACTCTGGTCACTTAATTGTTCTACATTAAACCATTTAGTAACCGCCAAGACAACCCTTTTATTCAAGTTTTTTTATTAACCTGGATATCCAACCCGCTATGCGAGTCGACTAATCTCATGACGACCACCTACTTTGCAGATAGTCCGGAGTCATCGCATTTGAACCTCCGTGGCCACAAAAGAATGTTTATTCCTCCTTGGATTTGAATTTTATTACATTTTCTTCAATTTCCAGTTCTTTTTATAGATTCCAATCCAATCAGATTTCATTATAAAAACCTCACCCTCGTTTATTTTTGTCCTCATCTATCTGGTATTTCATCCATTTTAGGTTCTATCAATTTTATAACAACTATCTCCAACATGCGTKGACCTGGAATGACTATGCATAGATTACCCCTAGTTGTGTTCGATAATAAATTCAATAAGATATTCACGTATATAATAAAGGATTGAGTTCCGGTGATAAAGAGAGTTAAGTTGAGAACCGTAAAAAGGAATCTCCATCATTGGATGCACATTAGAATGAGATGCATTGGATCAGTCCATGTATTAAACGCGATTCATGTGTGAGTCTGAGATTAAATATGATCAAGTGTCAAAATCCCTTATTATTATTTTCACCTCAATTCTCTTTCTCAAACGATCCTTCTCGTATAATCAAAAAGTTGGGTTCGAGTTAGAATGATAAGGTGAAAAGCGTAATAATGAATCTCCATCATTTGATGCACATTAAGATGAGATGCACTCAGATGCATCGGATTAATTCTCGTATCAAATGTGATTCAAGAATGGGTTTGAGATTAAAGGTAACCAATGATTCAAGTCTATTCTTACGCTTCTCATTGTAACTTTCATTCTCATACAATATTTCACTTATAAATAAAATAATATATTTTATTCATCACTTTATTATCTATACTGTATTATAAAACATTGAACAAAAACTCTTAAAAATCATTTTTGTGCATGAAGTACTATTTATTGATATATATCACTTAAAATGAAAATTACAAGTAATTTTGTAAGTACAACTTATTAAAGTTTCATGTTTGAATTCGTGTAATTAACTGCAGACAAACATAATCAAATACAGAACAAATATCTCATTTTAAATATTAAAAATTTAAAATATAATTATGAAAAATAATTGAGTTCTAATAGAATACTTAATTATTATATTTATAAAAAAAATTTATATTATTAAAGTAAAAATAAGTTACTTAATTATTAAAATCAAACTGAATTACAATAAAAACTAAATAAAAGAAATTAAATAAAAAAATGTGAACTTTTAAATAGGTAATTGAATACTAATATTGATATAATTTTAAAAAAATTATCTTCAAAATTACATTTTATTCAAAAATAAAAACATATCGCTTTCTCAAAACCACATAAAACTGTATTATATCGACAAATACAAATAATAAAAACGAAACATTAAAATCAAGACGTATCTCGCTGCATTACGCGAGTCCCATTTTTTTTTTATGTTGTAAAACATTTGCATAAAACTTTTAAAAAAAATCATTTTAACGCATCATGCATTATTTAATGATGCATATTACTTAAAATTCAAATTTACAAGTAATGGTACATGAATACAGATTTTTAAAATTATATATTTGAATTAATATAACTAACTGATAACCATAATTAAATACATAATAAACATCTCATTTTAAATATAAAGAATCAAAAACATAATTAAGATAAATATTAATTTCTAACGCAATACTTAATTGTTATATTTATAACAAAAATTATATTATTAAACCTAAAATAAATTAATTCGTTGTTAAACTCAAATTAAATTATAGTAAAAAGATTGAACTGAAAATTGTATTTATACATATTTAAAACAATCTACATTGTCATTAAATATAAATTAAATTATATTAAAAAAATGTATATTAATTATTCCATGATAAATTTATATTAAAAATTAATCAACATATAAATCTCTAATTAATTACAAGGTAGTTCTTAATTATGTTGGTGTCCCATTTTAAATATTTACGTTGTAAAAAACTAGAAGGATATTCGTGCAATACAACAAGATACATCTTTATTTTAATGTTTCGTTTTATTTTTCTGAGAGACGCTTATGTTTTACTGTCCCATTATCTGGTTAGAGGTAAACCAACCTCTTATCTATTTCTTATTGTTCTTAAAACTCTCAACAACGATGTTTCTGAATCAATAAGCCTTAATCAATTAGTCTCGTCAATCGATTCTTACCAAATCAATCCTCACATATCACAGTTGATGTGTTTTAATAGGATTTGAGCGTGTTAACTACCGTTCATGAAATATTTTTGTTTAAATTAATGCTAATTATATGATTTAGATGTAAATTTCGTAACGATGATGAATAAATATGTGAAATTGCATGAATGTATTTATAAAATCAACACTATAAATTATTAATGGATAAAAATAGACAAATTAAACAAATTTAGACGTTTATCAGTTTAAAAAAACAAATAGTCTTATTGATMTAGATTTCAGACTTAAGCACTACCTTTTATAAATCAAAAGTGAAATAAGATTTCAGACTTCAACATCTCTTAAAAAACAAACAACACCTAAATTTATTGTTATTATGTTCCGCATACTTAATTAATTGTAACGACTTACATTATGCCAAAAAAAAACAAATATGAGAACTATAGAGATGAAAACTGTAATTTTAAACAAACTACAGCGACAAAAATCATAGGGGCCGTTTACTAACCGCTTACTTAGTAAGTGCTTATCAAATAAATTTACTTACTAGACGAACATGACAAGGGCTAATAATCTTACCGGGTAAGAACGACGAGAAGGATGGAAAGTCTTACCGATAAGTGAGGATTACGACTCTTACCCAGGTAAGCGCTTACCTTGTAAATTGTTGCATTCAATACGTTTTGATGTACTAAAATTTTACTCATCAAAATAAATTTATAGTGTTGACTTATATAGGTAAGCACTTATTGGGTAAACATCGGGGTAAACAACCCCATAGTTTACGCTTGCTAAATGAGTAAATTATGTTTTTCCGTTTMTATGGTTTGTTAAAAATTACAATTTTCGTCCCTRTGRTTTAAAAATTACGATTTTCATTCCTACGGTTTATAAATTATCATTTTCGTCTYCATGATTTGTAATTCATTGTTATTTTGAGTTTTATAATTTACAATTTATTATTATTTCRATACTTATGATTTACAATTCTTTACTATTCTGGTCCTTGTATTTAAAAGGTWGAAATTAACTTGAGGACAAAAATTGTAAYAAACTATAAAGTATAGGARCAAAATTGTAATTTTYAAACCRTAAGGACTAAAATCGATATTATTAACAAATTACATGGAAAAAATGTTAAAATAAGCAAACAAAAAGGTACAAAATCCAAAAGAAAAGGTTMAAAGAGTCTGCGATTCGTGAGACTACGTATATACATCCAGATGAACATTGAATGTATGTAAACACCAAGACTTGGCCCCACTGTGATTACACATATATACTTGCTAAAAGATCGCTAACATTCAGTTATCGATCTCTTTTCAGCCGAATTTCACAAGCTCATCAGCAAAATGTAAGTTGTACGGTCTAATTTTATGTTTCTTGAATGTATGTAAAGTATTTGATGAAATGTCTCATTGGATTGCAAATAGGGATGATGGGTTGAATCTGAAGGCAATGGATGCAGAGCAACTAAGAGAATATGGCCACAAGATGGTAGATTTCATAGCTGATTACTACAAGAATATAGAGACTTTCCCTGTTCTCAGCCAAGTTGAGGTAATCCACTGCAAAATTTCTTTCTTTTTTCATTGTTTTCCATTGAAACTGAACTAGCTTTGTCCTAGATAGATGACTCAAATGACTCCTGCTTGTTAGAATTTTCGGTTGCTAACATCTTCACTTGGTTTTGTGGTGATTATCGGAATAGATAATGGAACAACATGTTTCTAAGCAAATTTGTCTTCATGATTACAAATTTTGCTATACTGAATTTCAAACCTGTTTATATGTTTTAGATTGRATTGGATACACTGTTTAATTTCTATTTACCTGCCATATTAGRGRTTGTGTGGTGGCTGATTTGTACTTTAAAATGATTGGAGATCTGTCTTGCTTATGTTTTGAGGATTGAGGAGTGTCTCTTTAGGCTTACTTTTGTAGGGATTTTGCAATTACAGCATATTGTTGTTGGTTTTGGTTGCTTTTGAAGTATATAGGAACACTTGAATSTTGTTAATTTATCAGCCAGGATATCTGCACAAACTTCTTCCTGATTCTGCCCCGATGCAGCCTGAATCCTTGGAAACAGTTCTTCAAGGTGACGTGTTATGCTATCTATTATAAGAATATATATTATATATATATATATATATTATAACCTTCATATACTCCACTGAAAGACCACATATGATTACACTAATATGTTTTTCTTCTCAATGCAATCCTTTTGTGATAATAGATGTTCAAACAAAGATATTGCCCGGGGTTACCCATTGGCAAAGCCCGGACTATTTTGCATATTTTCCCTCCAATAGCAGTGTTGCTGGCTTTCTTGGAGAAATGCTCAGTGCTGGAATAAACATAGTGGGGTTTAGTTGGATAACTTCTCCGGCTGCGACAGAACTCGAGATGATTGTTCTCGATTGGCTTGCTAATTTACTCAAGCTCCCCAATGATTTCCTTTCCAAGGGTACGATTTTGAACTTCTTTCTCACTCTTTTTAGTTGCAAAATAGATTCCAATTCAATTTTCCTTTCTTGGTCCATTTCAAGAGGCATCACATTCTTTTTTGGTAACYGTGGGTATCCGAGCCAGCTTACGTGTACCTCGACTAATCCCATGGGCCCTTGAAGATAACARCCAGGAAAATCCTAAAYGGCCATGAGGAGACTCGAATCGGTGACCTACGGGGAGGAGCCGCAAGGTCTCACCTTTATTTTTGAGGCATCACATTTTGGAAAGGGGGAACACAACATAACTTGAAGTTCCCTAACTTCTAGTAATATGGCACCACCATTGTTGTCACAATGGCTGCTTAACCGAAGTTAGAGCATAAAGTTTATTCTGTATGATTTCGCGATCATAAACAAGCAAGTATTGATATCGAGGTGCTATACCTTATATTTAGTCCACCAAGTYTCTTTGGGAAGGCATCCAATTATTGCCATGTCCTCTAACCAAACCAAATGGACCCAATATATCCCATCTGAGTTAGGTTMTGGGGAGGGTAAGATGTACACAGATYTGACCTCTACYTCAAAGAGTAGAGCGGGTGTTTCCGTGCTTGCCGTGTCTCCTGTCAATCACAAAAAGATACCAAATTATTTTATTTGTTTATTTATGTTAGTGGCATCGWGCAGCTTTTCTAGATTTAGTTTTTTCTTTCCAAATGTAGCTAGAATTATCAACAAATAGCTTATCATATTACAGGCCCAGGCGGCGGTGCAATACAGGGCACTGCCAGTGAAGCACTTCTTGTTGTGCTTTTGGCTGCTCGGGACAAAGTTTTAAGAGAGGTCRGCAAGGATGCCCTTGGAAGGCTCGTGGTTTATGGTTCTGATCAAACACATTCTTCTTTATTGAAGGCATGCCAAGTATGTTCATCACTCTTCCTTTTCTACGTTCGACTATGTTCTTGAATATAATTACCCCCTTAATGTATGCTTTATTTAAATGATGTAGGATTATATGATTTAAATGGTTAAATCTTTCAACCCTATAATGTGATGAGCGAGTTAATTTACAACACGATATCTTGTTTTTCCATCGCATATAAACATATCAATGCAAGCCGTTCACTAGATTGTTTTAATGCATATATAAGATATTMTAGCCTGTTATTATCAGTTTTACACGGGTATTTTACCAAAGACTCACCACCCTCACTTACCTTATCAGGTTGGTAAGTGTCTCTTACCCGGTAAGTGCTAACCGGGTAAGAGTAACCACCCTCACTTATTGGGTAAGATTCTCAGTCCTTGTGATGCTCACCCGGTAAGGTAAGTGACCTAGTAAGCGCTTGGTAAACGGCCCCTTGGATATTTTTTGTAAGGGTTAGGCTACCAATGACGTTGTTATAGATAATCATTTCATCTTGTTATATTGTTCATATCATAAATCGTGGAAGCTGGACGTGACTGGACAGGCRAGGGTGATGTAGATTGGTGAAAGAATTGTGGAAGGTTTTAGGGTTTTAGTTTGACATGTGTAATTTAGTAATTTACCAATCTTGTCCCTATCTCCTTGATATTTTTTCCATCTATTTTAGGGGGAGAAAAAAGATGCATTTTTGTYCCACTCAGTCTAATGTTKCATCAAATGTGGGACAACAAGTTTTTGTTCTATCYTGTCCAACGCATCCTAAAACRCAATAAATGTCACGATCATTTATTAGATGTTTTCACTATTCTTGTTGGCTGCCGTTGTATCAAGAAAAGTTACAAATTATCTTACTTTCAAGCACGTTTATTCTATTTAAGTGAATCTTTCCTATGGCAGATAGCAGGAATCCATTCCAAGAATTGTAGGCTGCTAAAAACAGAAACTTGCAACGAGTACGCTCTCTCYCCCGAATCACTCACTGATGCAATCTCACATGACATTGCCTCTGGTTTAATCCCTCTTTTCCTTTGTGCAACMGTAAGAAACAATAAAGCTTATATATTTAGCTTGTCATTTATGTCGGTAATGTGCTTTGATTCGTGTTTATTGCTAGTTTCTGGGATACTTATGATCTGAAAAATATCACGCACTTTGTCGATATATCGGTGGTGCAATGATGTTTGCATTTAGCTCTTTATGCGTGTGATCCTAAATTATTTTCAAATATTCGGATTATTTGTTTTGATGCAAGTAAATTAATTGCACATAAGTTCAAGTTTGCTAAATGCACYGGCTCATTCACACAGGTAGGTACGACATCATCAACAGCTGTGGATCCTTTGCTCGCACTTGGAAAGATTACCAAGGTGACRTATATTTGTATTTACGTTTCACTTGGCACATAGTTTTTGTCAAGGGCAAATCGCATGAAAATGCGGCGTACTTTGGTCTGATTCCTGTACTTTCAARACCTTCATTTTGGTATCTTAAGTGTGATATCTCAAATATCAACACAAAATAGGAATCAACCAAAGTATGTTGCATCTTGATGCATTCTCAAATGTGAATCAAGTACCTAAMTRTTTGAGATGTCATGTCYGAGGTACTAAAATGAAGGTTTTGGAAGTGCGTAATAGGAATTGGACCAAAGTATGCTGCATTTTCATACAATTTTCCCTTTTGTCAAATATCTTTAAATACCCTTCGATAAAGACAAAATAGGTTGTGGGCAAAATGAATACCATCAATTATTTGTGATATAATGAGGAATAGGTACATTTGACTTGGAATAATTTGAAAAAAAGGAACATTGCTAGTTTCACAGGACATCTCCAAAAGGAAAGGGTATTTATTTTTGGGGTATCTATCACTCTTTAGCCAAACTAAAATTTGTAACATACCTTCATCTTTCAGATCAAGATCAAAACTTACTTTCATGAGTTCATCTAGTAATTATTTTCTCATTGGGGTAGGGGTCATGTCTTCGTACATCTCACCCCCCCCCTCTCTTAAAGACCTACTTTCGGGTGAGATTTAAGAGCCATTTACCAAACGCTTACCGCGTAAGCACTTACCAATAAGATCATCACTATCACTTACCTTATCGGGTAACATTCTCAGCCATCAAAACAGAATGTTGGCAAGCGTTTTTGACCTGGTAAGCGCTTACCGGGGAAAAGTCTTCTCCATCACTTACCAAGTAAGATTCTTGGTCCTTGTTATGCCTCTTACCGGGTTAGATTCTAGGTCATTACAACACTCATTYGGAAGGTAAGTGACACATGGTAAGCGCTTACCAAGTAAGCATTTGGTAAACGACCCCTTATCGTGTCAGTTTGGTTTAGTTGGTTATACAAAAGTTCCTTGTTGATTCTTTGACAGAGGAACAACATGTGGTTTCACGTGGATGCTGCATATGCTGGAAGTGCTTGTATTTGCCCGGAATACCGCCACCATTTGAATGGTATCGAGGAAGCAGACTCATTTAACATGAACTGTCATAAATGGTTCTTAACCAACTTCGATTGTTCAGCATTATGGATAAAGGTTTGGGACCTTATTTACTTTATACCAATTTTTTCTTGCATTTCGGCTATGGACATTTAACACTTTGGCACCTTTACTTCTATTAGTCAGAGGTCAAAATATACCCCTAGGCCTCTCTCCGTTGAGTGCATTGTTATTGAAAGTGTCAAACACCCTTTAATAGGGACAAAATARAAGAATCTTGTGGACCAAAATCATTACCATCAATATCCTGTGACGGTTTTTTTATAGCCATGGGTGTCTKGACCARCTTGCGTGCACCTTGACTGATCCCATAGGGCCCTAAAGYTAGCCCTTGGGGGGTAACTTAACTAGGCAGGCCTTGGTCACTGGTTCAAGTCCCYTCAGGGCCACCAAAAGTTATGAGGAGCAAACTTGAAATCTAACCGGTTAAGCTACCTCCAAGGGTTAACTTCAAGCCTTGCCAGTTGCTAATGGGCAAAAGGGTAATTTTGAATCTAGGAAGCAGTGCTAGAGCATCTCGGTTCGAGTCCRAGTGGCGGCATGCCATCTTAAAACCATTCATATATCGTATATGCGGGTGTCTAGATAACATATATTTTATAYGGGAGACGTTGCTAGAAAAGGGTAACAATTGCATTTGTTTTGTGACATCCAACAAAAAGAATATTGCATTTGTTCCAGGGCAAGGGAACATGTTGGTGATCAAAACTTGTGTAGTCTATTTATYTGACATGCACTTGAATTTCTAAAATGCTTCAAGATTCGGAACTTTGTAATTTCACGGTTTATTTTAACTAGTTCCATAGATAAAAAGGCTATCATCTACTTAAATTTCTTGATGGACACTTGATTATCATCCTTTCTTTTCTGAACAGGACCGGAATGCTCTTATTCAGTCTCTCTCAACAAATCCCGAGTATCTAAAGAATAAAGTAAGCATATCCACCGTACAATAGCGTAAAATATTTAAGTTAATGCTATTTGTCCCTTTCGGTGGTGATAACTTAAAAATCACTTCCATTTGAGGAAAGGAACTATCCTGAAAGAATCAATCTTTCATTCTTTCTATTAGCTGATGAATCTCTCTTTATTCATCAATACGTGATACTCTAGATCCTCATTCCTAGTGGAATGAAAAATGATCCTTGGATTGATCAAATGGTCCTTTCGGTTGGTTAGAATCCCTTGCCTGAACATTCAAATCCCCCCTGCTTTATATATATATATATATATAAAGAGAGAGAGAGAGAGATAGAGGGGGGGGGGTTGGGTTCACGTGAGACCAACTTGTTTCTGTGAGACCCGTGAGACCAACTTGTTTCCGTGAGACCCGTGAGACCAACTTGTTTCCGTGAGACCCGTTAGACCACAATTTTACATTTGAAACTTCACAGCAAAATGTTGTGAAGGTAAAAGAACTCCGAACCTTCACAGTAAAAACATTGTGAATGTTACTTTCACAGTGTTCTACTGTGAAGTTTCAAGTGTAAAAAGGTGGTCTCATGGGTCTCACGAAAACATGCTAGTCTCACATGATCCCAAGTCTATATAAGTGTATATATAGGGGTAGGTTCTTTTGGTAACCGAATTTATGRTATTAACTTTGTAAACCCATCRCAATCATTCATCTTGTGAATAAATGGATGACAATTTTGTAATAACTAATAATAATATATTATCRTCYAAGATGAATATAYATGAACAAGGGTATTATTGGAAAAAAATTCATAAAGTTTGTAACTGTACATTAATGACATTAATGTTCATAGAAACATTAATTCATTGTCATTATTAAAAAAATCTCCATGATTATGAACATTAATATACACATAGGCATCTCCCCCTATATGAACATGRGTTCACTTATGAACAATGTGATTATGTTCATTAATATTTGAACAATGTTCACATATGTTCACAACTGTTCACTTGGCTATTCCATCTTTTTATATATTAACAGACRATGAACATTGTACACTTATGGAAATATGTTCACCGGTGATTTCGTGAAATTTTCCTCGACACCGTTCATATAACCCGAAATGATATATACATGTGATTTATTCACTTGGATTAACAATTTACCCATTGTGTATATTAATATTCACATGTTCAAAAATGTTTAATTGTGATTTGTTCACTCAGATTAACATTTTCATCAAGATTATTTTATTTATTGATAATACATTGTGTAATTTGAATAAATGATCATAATCCCAACAATCAAGGAACTATTAAATTGTAAAAACTCATTACTTAATACAAAATGTAACTTACAGAGATATTTGTGGAAAAGATCATGACATATGAACACCTATGAACACCATATGGTTACGAACACAATCTTATGAATGCCTTATGGTCATGAACACATTCTTATGAACACCTATGAACACATATGAGCACATTCTTATGAATACCTTATGGTTATGAACACATTCTTATGAACAACTATGAACATCATTAAATACCATAAAAGTAACTTACACATAAAAAAAATGTAATATCTCATTAAATACCATAAAGTAACTTGCACATAAAAATTATCTATTTTCCCTTYATCATTAAATCAAACATTTGATCTACTAAAAAATGAATCTTCTTGGTCTAATAAGTTCACAGAGTTAACACAATATTATTGGTTAACAAAAGATCTTACCCTCTCTCTCTCTCTCTATATATATATATATATATATATATATATATATATAGAGAGAGAGAGA